TTAGGATTTTCATAGCGACAATGAGGTATTATGGTGAATGTAGTAAGAAAGATCAGTAAGAATGTGTTGTTTTGGTGTTAGAAATATTGTGGTATATTTGGGTCAGTGATTGTGGCTAGCGAAGTTTAAATTTAGGATCGTCCTTTTCCCCATTTTGGCCTTGTATCACATTTTGTAATATTTTACAAATAAATATCGCTCTTTTCTTTGGGATCTCTACTGCATCAGTTTAAGCGGAATACGACAGTGGGAACCTCAATCGTTTTACTCTTGAACTAGCTAAACGTAACCTTAAGTTATATTCTAATGATTTCTTTCCTCGCACTTATCGCATGTTTGCTTCCCTGCCACCAACAATCTTCAATCATAGACGCTAGTTGTTTGGTAGTTCTCTCGTGGATGCGGGGTGCCTTTCATTTCGTGTGTGATTTTCGTATTTGTAGTTGTGTTTGAATGAGTGGGTGTTTGAGTGAGTGCCTCCAGGACAATGAATTAGAATCTAACCTAAAGAAGGCTAATTGGTTAATCCGAATTTAAATCTCGATAAGCCAAAACAGATCCAGTATATTTGTAATAATCCCTTTGGTCTACCAAATTTCTGGGACAAGCTCTTGTGATCTTTATGGTTTTGCATTCGGTGCCATTCTAAGATGGATATGTGGCCGAGTGGTTAGAACGTTTGCTTTATATTCGAATCTCACCATGATCGATTTGTCAGGAAGGTAACTTCTTGATGTTATCGGATTAGAGAGATCGATCCCAGCGTACGGCACTTTTAGAAAGTGCCTGAAAATCATACCACGGGTTGACCCAAGACTTGTCAGTGAAATCGAGTAACGGAACGCGTGGAAGCCGTCGGTGGTCGTGATAATCATCGTGACCGAGGTTTTGAGCCTGCTAGCCTTGTTCCGATTGTTAATCACGCTAGATAAAGCGATCTCTCCCAGAAACTGTAACTAAGGTCTGCTCAGCATAGTTGCAATATAAACCACAGGTGGGCTCTGTGGGTGTTGAACAAACACAAATGTGCCTGAGCAGACGTCTGCAATGGGAGTTAGGTAGCCACCCCAGTAGACCGGTATCCTGGTCTTGGAGTGGCTGCGCCATTTATTTTTACCATTCTAGGAATAGCCGAACCGGGTTCGTTATTTGATCCACGAAGCTATGTTCTCTTTCCAATGACGCCATGATATGTAATGGATAGCAGTTCGGAATTCGAAATCGGGGAGCTGATTTCGAAGTCCAGTTGGGTTCGTTACACTCACTCACGCGCAAATATCCTTGGGATGGTATCAAACTATCTTCACCCAACCCTCACCCCCCACCAGCTATGTATCTTGAAAAAGCTTACATATTCTCCAAAAAGATTCTTAATGAAATATTCGCAATCAAAAAAATAACAAAAATCTATTCTTACAATCTAAAATAGGTTTAAGCTTTAAAAGACACACGAAATGTTAGTAAGCCGTAAAATAAACACTATTTACATTATTCAGACTATTGTCCTCATCTTTGTCGCCATATTTATTACATTACTCTCATTATTTTTTTAAAAATTATGATCAGAGCTGATTTTGATGAAATCAAACTATGATGAGACTGTGTCAGATTATGCTTAACTATGTGAATCTGCCTATAATTATCAGTCGATAAGGAGCACAACAGGCAAATAATCGTCAGTAAATACCTGATTACTTATAGATTTGTGGAAGATTAAGTTAAACATAATCTCTATCTATAAAAGACAGGATGTGTGTGTTTGTGTGTAACGAATGTACGGCCGCAATTTTCGATGGATTTGCACCAAAACTTACATGCACATGCTCCAAGTTAGCGGGAAGGCCAAGACCGACTTTGCATTTCCCAACTCCCATCGATAGTGGAAATAATAGATTTTTTCATGCTTCTACGGCAGTTTTCATGTAGTTTGCGGCCAGAGTGAGAGCCTATAGCTGGCTGCCACGAATAGGCAGGAAGATTCTATTGGCCAGCGTGAGAGTCAACAGTTGACTGACACGAAGGTTAACTAGCATGCTAGCATGCAAAAAAATCGATAGCTGCATTCGTCACAAGTGGGAAAAATTTAAATCTGCATGGCACTTTACTCCAATTGGCTCATTCGCTTGCTTAAACTCAACATTGATTCTGATACGCAGAACTGGGTTGGATGTGAAAAAGTATTTGTTGTTAACATTCTTTTTTCATTCGGTTTTTCCAGTTACGAGTCCTTTTTTAAAGCTGATAGTTTTGTGTTCATTTTGTTTAGTTCTTTTTTCGTAACAGATTTAATGTTTAGTATAGAGCTTAGAAAAAATTCGCAGTGTGAGATAGGCAAGAAGTAAGGCATGTAGCAATATCAGCACGGCAAAGGGCACTCCTTTAAAGGCAAGGAAGGGCAAAAATATTTTAAGTCAAGTGATAGCGATTGCTGTATGAGTCGTACGATTTTTGAATCAAGCACGGGCAACTCCAGGCCATGCTGCTAGTCTGCCTATAACTGTCAGTAGATAAGGGGCACATCAGGGAAATAATCGTCAGTAAATATCTGATTACTTATAGATTTGTGGAAGATTAAGTTAAACTTAATGATAGATAGATTTTGATGATTCTCATTTCTTTGCAGAAGACCGTTCTTCACTTGCTAGCTTTTATGTGTTTTACAATCAGAATTTTATACTTGAGCTAACGCTCTGATATCATGCCGTAAGTGATTCTTAAGACAAGCTTCGCTTTTAAAAACTCTCTTACGGGGTAAACATAAAGTTAGTCTGTGTTGCCTATAATGGAAACTTGCCTGCCCTTGTGTACAGTCATAGCAGAAGTGGAATGAGGGGCAAAAAAGGGCACAAATAGACATGTTACGTCATTATATTAATTCACCTAAATGCCCCTCCCAACATATGGCGCCCGGGAAGGACCACTTCCCCACCCAATTTAGGTCAGCCACTATCTTTCATCAACCTTGGTAGTCCTGTAAAATATATACATAATGCGAGGGTCTTAACTTTTCATTTATACAGTTCAAAATAGTTTCCGATGTCTTATAAGGGATTCATTATTTTTCCAAGTATGCAGCCTCTTTCCCCACAGACACAAACCTATCCCTACTCTATCGTTATTTCCATGGCAAATGTTCGGATGAGCTGCACTCTTTAGGCCCATCAATTCAGCCCTTTGTAGCTAGGACTCGTCATCTCCCCCAGAATCGAATCACCCACATTTCCCCCATATTCCAATTGTAAGGAAGAAGTTCTACTCAGACAAAGTCAACCAATCAAACCTATTTCAGTTTTGCACTTTCCGTCCTTTGTTAAAACACTTCCAAGATATTTAAATTGTTGTACTTGTTTGATTTGGGTATCCCCAATTTGTAATTCGCGTCTTATATGGTTGTTAGCAAAAGGGACAGTCTATTCTTTCTTCTTACAATTGATGGTTAGTCCTTTCTTTTCGCTTTCCTTTACTACTTTCTGTGTTGCTGTAGTTTCCTCTCTGTGTCGGCTATCAACACTCTGTCGATTGTATATCCTCTTGTTATGATTATGGCCGCCAATAAATTTTTTAGAATCAACTCACTTACACCTCTTTCTATTTTTGTATATTTACTGAATTCATTTTCTGTCCGTATGCAGGGGATTTACTGCCAGCATAGATTCTGGATTGTTCTAATACTAATGTACTCGCGCCGTCAAAATTGATGACAAGAAGAAATGTATTATAATAATATGTATTGTAAGTAATTTTTGTTTAATCCAAGTATAATTTTGTAAAATAGTCCGTTGCTAACGTTAATAATTGAGCAGTGCACAATTTATAAACACCTCTGAAAAGATGTCCATATTTTATCCTCACTGTGTATGTGCGTAGTTTTTGTACGCGCACTTTTGTGACAAACATTCGGTGTTCTTGAGAGTCAAATTTGCTGAGAAATTAGAAAATCTCAGAGCCTTAAATATAATGTTTCTTATTTCCGAATTGTTGACTCCAACATGGTCACGATACAAACCCCCTAAACCATTAGAGTCGTAGGGGCATCCTGTGTACCCCAGCAACGCCAGCAGTAGCACGTCTAAGGCATGATATCCTGACGAAACCATTACTCTTCAAGCTGGTTTTAAATTCAGAATTTTGCTTCTTCTAGATTGATTACAACCTGAAGCCAAGAGAATCCAATCAACCTTGCTATTTAACCCATAGCTGGGGGGAAGAAATGGATTCATACTTTTCCAAAAGATAGAATTCGAACTTGTACACCTCTTCCAAGCTTGCGATAGGTGATCCCACGACTCAAGACACCACGAAGGAGAGTAACTTTATGTGAAGTTTAATTCAGTCTCAAATAAAATATAAACCTCGGCCAAATTTTGTCTGACATATATTTATCTACACTCTCTATCCCTCTCTCTCTCTCTCTCTCTCTTTCTCTCTCTCTCTTTCATTCTTTCTTTCTTTATTTGCAGTTGTGTATCTGTTTCTTTTGGTGCTACTTCCCATCATTCCTTTCGCGTTGATCGTAGTTCGCAAAGAGGAGGAAAGAAGAGGTTTACTTTATAGTTTGTCAGCGCGATAGCTTTTTACGTATGGATGTGAATTGAATCATGAGTTCTGTGCGTTTCATGTCAAAATTTTACAAACTGCACGTCAATTGTTACACACAAAAAAATTATATATATATATATATATATATATATATATATATATATATATATATATATATATATATCACGTATTATATTTAAGGATCCTTTCCAAACATGTCAAGTTTCCCTATCCGTCCCAACAGCTCTTTGTGACGTGCAATACTCTCGCCAGAAATTCTGACAAAAATCAAGTATATTTATAATGTTCCCTTAGCTTATTCCGTTCAATAATTCGTTAAAATTGGCCAAATGGAAGAAACCAAAATGGAATTTTGTTTGGTTATTGTTGACGCACTACTTCGTCTCTTAGCCACTCTTACACACACGCACACACATATATATAGATAGATGTGGAGAGACATAGAGAGAGAGGAGGGAGAGGGAAAGATGTGCACATAGATAGATAGATAGATAGATAGATAGATAGATATAATGTGGACAGACAGAGGGAAGGATAAACAGAGAGAAATGTAGACATAGATAGATAGATAGATAGATAGATAGATAGATAGATAGATAGATAGATAGATAGATAGAATTTTGTATGCTTTAAAATAAATATAAAAACAGAAAGCAAACTAATATATTTGGTCAAAATCGGTGAAGGCATTGAGAAGAAATAAGTGCATGTTCATCTTCACAAACACATTGCGACTGAAGATATTATATTGGCATTTCTGCAGAAGAGTTAATAAGAAAAACACGATAAATAAATAAACATATAAATAAACACGTCTGCAGAATGGTAATACCAAAGGACGACAATTGCACGCAGACGACACCTCGGCGTGATTAGATACAAATCCTGCCATTGTTAATCATAATAATTCATCTCTTTCGTGATTGGATTTTTTTTCTTTTCTGTCCCTGCCATAATATGATGGCGATAAGTTTTGAGGAAAAGAAAGACTTCAGTAAAATGTAAAGAAATAACATTGATTTACGAGAATTTACCTTTTTTTTTTTTTTTAACTATCTGTCTGCCTGTCTGTCTACGTGTCTGTCTGTGCCTTTCTCTCTCTGGGTGAACTGTGTTCACCATTTCTGACACTGAACTTTAGATTAGATACTAGGCTGCTTCTTTTATGTCTCTTTAGGTAGTGGCTCTCCACAATTTCCAATAATTTATAACCCTAGACATTGTTCGTCCACTTGACACACCTCCCAAACTCTATTCTATCATCCATTTACACAAGCTCATTAGGTAAGTTACTCATTGTTGCTTTCTGTCTATCTAGTTCTTAGTATCTTCTGGTGAGTGTCTCCAAGTTCTTGTTAATACGTGTCCTATAAATGTGTCATTTTGTTTGTTTAACGGCATATCAACTCCTTATGGATGATTTAATGCCGAAATTTAATTTACTTTGGAGCTTTTCTTTTCTTTTTACTATTAAAATCTATTGCTGGAGTTTTTTTATTATTAAATTCAGTTCCTGGAAATTTTTACTATGAGAATGTGTTTTATATTTTCATAGTATAAAATCTTAACCTGTTCAAGTCTAGAGTTAACCGTTTTCTTCTTCTGTTATCTGCATAAAGTACCCCTTAATGTAACCCTCTAGCTTGAGTGGCTCCCGGACCTCGTACAGCGAGAAACTTAATAAAGATCAAGCAAGAACTAAAGTTTAAAAGAAGTGTTTTAAAAGTGTGACATCAAAATCAGAAGGCGAATTGGAATAGTTAAAGATGCCTTCCACAAGATAAGTAAAATATAAAGAACGAACACGCAGCCTACTAGTGTTCCGTTGGAGGGCCGCCAATGGCAACGTCAGCGGCCATTTTGCGGCAGCCACCAACAGGCCACCGGTGGCCCTCTAGCTGTCCGTCAGTGGTAACGTTGCCAAGATCAGCACGCCAGTGGTCCGACAGCGAGCCGCCAGCGGTAAACGCTAGTGGCATGCCACCCAGTATCAGATAGGTTGCCTGTAGGGGAAACAAGGAAAGTTCATTATATACAAAGAAATGAGTACTGGACTGTTATGTAATATCAGTCCTCTCGTATGACAGTGAATGATCGACAATCTTTTCACAGACGAAGAGAGACATGAAGCAACAGAAATGTGGTTCTACAGAAGGATGCTGAGAATATCATGGATGGAACATGTGAGCAATGACGAACTTCTAGAGACAATGAAAATAAAAAAAAAAGAATATGAACATTTATGCTCAGAATAAGAAAAGTTCAGTTGAAATTCCCAGGGTGCATAATGAGGAAAGAGGGCGTGGAGAATTTAACACTTATAGAACATGTTGAGGAAAAGAGGAAAACTTCAAATGATCTAGCAAACGAGCTTGTGTAAATGATTGGAAGAACAGGAATTAACAGAGACAGCAGAAAGACAAACCTTACTAAGCGCTTCAAAGGGCAGGAAGCCGTAGAGAATCTAATCGTCTACGCTCTGCAGGGACACGCCACATAGACTGCACGAATATAGAATTATCGCAAACCTGACTTCAGTTAGAGAGTTACTCTTCCAAGGCAGCAGTAAGGGGAATAAGTAAAGATAGTCATTGATATTAACTTTTGGCGTTATACTGTTTATACCAAAACCGAAAATAATAATAAAAAAAACTCTTTCAAAACCTTCTTGCAGTGCAAACCACATCATCAATCTCTGGCATGCTGAGGTTGTGGCCCTATCGTCCATAGGGCAGCCTACAGGTTTAACAATTCCACAATGAAAAAAAAACCCTGCTTGCTACGCAAGCCACAACAGCAATACCTGACATGGTGAGGTTATGGCTTTATCGTCCATAGTGCAATCTACAGGGTTAACAATTCCATCCTGAAATACCTACTTGCTATGCAAACCACAAAAGCAATACCTGGAATGGTGAGGCTGATTTAAAATACATCGATGCATCATATGGTGAACTTGGCTACAGGTGACAATGCTCCTTTTTAACAGCATGGTTCCTCGTTATCCTTTTTAAAACAGTTCAGCCCAGAAATAAAAAAAAAATAAGCTTACAGTATAAAAAGTTAAAAGCATACTTCATTTATAATGCGACTCCTGTTATTTTCTTCATCCAGCTCATGTATAATACGACCCCCAACTTCTGAGCAATACTAATAGGTCTACCGTAGTCCAATATTACAGTATTGGGCATCACCTTGGACTTATTTTATAGAAAATAAAAACACCTACCGTAAAATATCTGATACGAAGATTTAGATACCGTACATTTGTTTTCGCTCATGTCTGACTACGGTAGCTCCTTTACCCTGGGGATTTTTATGTAGTCTAAGTTTTTTCCTTTTTGACGTTACGTGAAGAGCAAACCCTCATAAACTACGTATGTCACTTAAATAGATTTTTTTTTCTATCTCAAATTTGCATTAATCTTCGTTACGCAAATGTCTGAGGTATTGTCTTTCCAATTACGAGTTTTTTTCGTCAGGATTACAGGTACATAATGTTAAAGGAGCATACCTGTACTGTTAAGGTTAACCAAGCGTAAGAAGTAGAAAAGGTTACGGTCACCGAAAATAAATACATGTTAACCTATTTATGAAATCGCTAAAAAAAAGAGCATAGCTTGATTGAAAACAAAATTTTATTGTCTAAATGTTATGTTATTATTAAGAGGAAAAAAAACCTTCTTTTTAGAACATTCTAAATTTTGATTAAAAAAACCTTTTTCATCAGCGGAACTAGTAAATAATATAGACAATTTTTCATTTTTTGGTATGACACACATTAATTTGAAAAATCGTGCAAAAAATAGAAATAATTATCGGATGTTGAGAAAATACTAATATGTCTTTTATGAAAGTCATGGTAGTAGTCCAATATTGAAAACAGAAATTATTCGGTTTTAGGCAATAATCAGGGCTTTGAGGAATGCAAATTATGTTTTTTTTTTTTTTTTGGATACGCAGTACCTGAAAAATGAATTTGTAAAACAAAACTCAATAAAACAAATATATTATTTAATTTCAAATAAAATATATGATGAAAGCAAAAAAATTTGAAAAAGATTTTTAATACAATTATTTGTACATTAATTATTAGATTTTCATTTAAGTTGTTAAAATATTATAAAATTAGTTAAAAGTTGCATGTCTGACTATGAGATAGATTTTTTTAGCGCGTTGTAAATTTACCCTCAGAAGATCCCCAGTAATTAAGGTAATTTTGTTTCTATAATCGAGCTTTTATAAAATACGGAAGACCAACCAGAATATCTATTGTTGCGTTATTTTTAAGCATTGTTCCCGCTGTTAAGGACTTTTTGCGAAACACGTGGAGAAGTTAATTTGATTTTTCAAACCCTGAGATAAACTACGTATCAGTATCATCTTAATGAAATTTATATGATCTTATTTTTTTTATTAATCTCAGTTACGACATTTTTCCATAAATGAAATATCAAAATTTCGTTGAACGCAAATAACAGTAGAATGTAATAAATGGTATTTTATGTCAATTCTGATAAAATTACGAGTTTTTTTCTTTCTTAAGAAATATGAAATTTAAGGATTAACAGTTTTATTTTAATTTCTTTACATAATGTTAAACGTAAAGGGAAAGCAAAAAAAAAAAAAAAAAAAATTAGACCTGTACGTTAAAAATAACGGGTAAATAATTTGTTCACGTAAATGTAAATTATTTCACTTTTCTCCTTCCGTAAGAACAAATTGCCTCATGGAATTCGTAAATATATTACATCACAGGTAGGTTACGCTTTGTTTCATTTTCAAAAATCTTTTTGGTAAAAACATGTTTAACAAAATATTTTTAAATAAACCTGATTTTCTTAAAATAAGTGAAAAAAAAAGATTTACCAGATTTGTTTTTTAAAATATCAATTTTGCTGACCAAAAAAAAATGCGAAAATGACGTTTTAAAAAAATGAAAAAATACCGCAAAAAATTTTGACCTTTAATAACAAACATTTAGACCCCGTCAAGTTTGGCGTCTTTTTCATGCCTATGTTAACCTCTTAAAAAAGAAAATGCAGATCACAAAATTGGTTTGCTTAAAAAGACAGATCACAAAATCTCGAACTATACAGGAGTATATACGGTAACTGTAAAATGGTTTATATAAACCATAATGAAAACTGAATCCAACAACATGGCAATCGAGATATGCAATCTAGATAAGCTTTCAAATCGATCAACATTCAAATTTAACAATTTCATAAATTCCTTTTATTTATTTGTTTACCTTTTTTTTTAAATTTCTGTTATAATTCTATTTCTCTTCTTTCAAGCACGTTTCTTGTATTTTCACGCCTATCCCTGCGCATGTGCAGAAGACAATTCGTCAAAACTGAAAGGATTCATGTTGGGTGATTTCAAAATTTAACTTTATACTTTGGTGTCACAAAACATCAAAAAACAGTATGCTGGATAGAAACGAAACGAAACAAGTAAAGTGAGAAGGAAGCAGCGTTTCGCTTTTTAAAATTTCAAGCTTTATAAAAAACAAATCTTTATGGATTAAGATAATGCATCGTGTGAGAATTGTCAAATCATTCATTTAAGAGAATTTTAAAGACAATAATTCAGATATCACTTATGAAAAATATTAACAGTTT